ATTACTGTTTTTGAGTTTAAATTCAGATTTGATGGATTGACTCGCCTTTTCTTTCTCTTGTGGCATATAATAGTAGAGTGTTATAATGCTGTATGTGGTCAGTGTCAGGTGTGGTCAGTGTCAGGTGTGGTCAGTGTCAGGTGTGGTCAGTGTCAGGTGTGGTCAGCGTCAGGCGTGGTCAGCGTCAGGTGTGGTCAGCGTCAGGTGTGGTCAGCGTCAGGTGTGGTCAGTGTCAGGTGTGGTCAGTGTCAGGTGTGGTCAGTGTCAGGTGTGGTCAGTGTCAGGTGTGGTCAGCGTCAGGTGTGGTCAGTGTCAGGTGTGGTCAGCGTCAGGTGTGGTCAGTGTCAGGTGTGGTCAGTGTCAGGTGTGGTCAGTGTCAGGTGTGGTCAGCTTCAGAAAGTGTGGCCGGTGTCAGAAGGTGTGGCCGTTGGACCCAAATTCTAACGAGCCACAGTCTTAATAGTCAGATCTGATTAAGGTACATTGACATTGCGACACACACACACACACACACACACACACGTTCCTCTTATCTCCTGTACCTCTCTCGCTCTCTCTCTCTCTCTCTCTCTCTCTCTCTCTCTCTCTCTCTCTCTCTCTCTCTCTCTCTCTCTCTGCGTCCCTCGTCTGTTCTTGTGTTTATGTGTAAGTTTCCTCTCGGCTTAATTTGGCTGTTCCTTACTTGGTGTGTTCCCTCCCCTCCCCGTCCTTCCCTCTCCCCCTCCTTCCCTCCTCTTCCCTTACCCTCCCTTCCCTTCCCTCCCTGGCGTGGCTTGGTGGTGCCCTCCCTAGGATCTCTCGCCAGCAGTCATCCAATCAGCAGTATGGAGGAAGAAGCGAGTGTGTGTTGAGGAAATCGGTGGAGGTTGGCTGGTCTTGTTCTCTCCCTGCCTACCAGACCTCCTCCTGCCCCCTCACCCATCCCTCCTCCCCGCTTACAACACTTAGTGCCTGTCTGCCTGCTACCGCTTCTTCTTCTTCTTCTTTATCCTCCTCTTACTTTTCTTCCTCTCCTCATTTTCTTCTACTTCATCTTCCTCTTACTCCTCTTCTCATTCTCGTCCTCTTTCCCCCTCCTCCTCTTACTCCCCCTCTTTTCTCCTCTTCCTCTCCTCCTCTTCCTCTTCCTCTCCCTCCTCCTCCTCCTAGCTGCTCTTCTCTATGCTGTTGATACTAATGTTCAATGTTATCTCCGTTAATGTTATGTTTTTTTGTTGTCTGTTTATGTTATAGTTCCAGGAGGTGCAATTCATTGTTGTCTTGTGGGTCTGTTGCTTCTGTCTTTCCTCCTTGCTTGATTTTACTGTTGCTGTTACAATTGTTGCCTCAGTTGTTATGGATACTACAGCAGTTGGGTGTTTTGTCTGTGATACTGTATCTACCACTGCTGTTGTTGTAGTGGTGGAGGTGAGGGTAGGGGTGTAGTGGAGATGGGGGGATGTGTGGGTGGGGAGATAGTGGAAGGGGAGGAAATGGGTGTGGAGTGGGGAGATAGTGGAAGGGGAGGAAGCAGGTGTGGAGTGGGGAGATAGTGGAAGGGAAGGAAGCAGGTGTGAGTGGGGAGATAGTGGAAGGAGGTAGGTGAGTCGATGGTGGTGGGTGGAGAGGTGTGGGGAGAGGAGGTTGGTGTGGGGGGGGGGATGGCAGGGAATAAGAGGAGCCATTTAGAATTTATAATAAGCAGCCGTCAGCCGTCTGTGAGGTGTGTTGACAGCTAGTTGTGACGTCTGCCCGCCGCCCTAATGGTTTAATTGGATTAACTCAGCTGACGGCCCCTTGACTTGGTTGTTACCTGAGAAATATTGTCAACCTTCCCTCACCCCCCTCATCCCCCCTCACTTCCCCACTCCCTCACCCCTCCCTCACTCCACCCCCCTCACCCCCCCACTCCCTCCACCCCCCCTCACCCCCCTCACCCCTCACCCCCCCACTCACTCACCCCTCACTTCCCCCTCCCTCACCCCTCACTCTCACCCCCTCACTCACCCCCTCACTCCCCCCACTCCCTCACCCCCTCCACCCCCTCACCCCCTCTCCCCCACCCCTCCCCCTCCCCCCCTCCCCCCCTCACCCCCCCTCCCACCACCCTCACCCCCACTCCCACCCCTCCATCCCTCACTCCCCCTCCTCACCACCCCTCCCCGCCCCCACCCCCACTCCCTCACCCCTCACCCCCCCTCACCCCCTCCACTTTCCCCACCCCCTCACCCCTCACCCCTCACCCCCTCCACCACCCTCCTCCCTCCCCCTCCCCACCCCCTCTCCCCCCCCCACCCTCACTTCCCCTCCCTCACCCCCTCACCCCCCTACCCTCCTTCCCCCTCCCCTCACCCCTCACCCCCTCACCCCTCCACCCCCTCACTTCCCCACCTCACCCCCTCACCCCCACCCCTCCCTCCCCCTCCCCCCTCCCCCCCCCATCACTTTCCCCCCCCTCACCCCTCATCCCCTCACTTCCCCTCCCTCACCCTCACCCCCTCACCCCCTCCCACCACCCCCCTCCCTTCCCACTTCCCCCACTCCCCTCACCCCCTCTCACCCCCCACCCCCACTCCCCCCACCCCTCACCCTCCCTCCCCCCTCCCCCCCCCTCACCCCCTCACCACTTCCCACTCCTCACCCTCACCCTCACCCCTCCCCACCTCACTTCCCACTCCTCACCCCCCCCTCATCCCCCACCCCCCTCACTCCCCTCCTCACCCCCCTCCCTCACCACCCACTCCCCCCTCCCCCACCCCTCACCCCCCCTCACCCTCACCCTCACCCTGCCATCTGCTGCCCTATGTTGGTTCTCTTTCCATCTCTCTCCCTCATCCAACCTTTCTTGTATTTGGTGGGAAAATGGGTGAAGGGAGGAGGAGGAGGAGAAGAGAGGTGGAGGAGGAAAAGGGAAGGAGAGAGAGAGGAGGAGGGAGGGATAGGAGGAGAGGAGGAGAGAGAGAGAGAGGAGGGTTGGAGAGAGAGGAAAGAGAGGAGGGGGAGTTGGAGAGAGAGAGAGGAGGGAGAGAGAGAGAGAGGAGGTTGGAGGGAGAGAGAGAGAGGAAGGAGGGAAGAGGGAGCGGAGAAATAAATGGAGAGAAAGAAGAGGGAGGGAGGAGGGGGAAGAGAGAAGAGGTTGAGGGAGGGTGGTAGTGAGGATGACAGCTTCCACGTGTCTCATTGTTCAAGTTTTACTCCAATGGTTGTGAGCGACTAAATCTCCCTCCTCTTCCTCCTCCTCTCCACCTCCTCCTCCTCTTCCTCCTCCTCTTCACCTCCTCCTCCTCTTCTTTCTTCTCCTTCTCCTCACCTTTGTTTACCTCTCTTTCTCCTCTTCTTTCCTTTGCTCCCCTCTCTCTCTCTCTCTCCTTTGTCTATCCATCTCCCTACATCTCCTCCCCTTGCTCTTCTTAGATTACATTCCCCCTCCTCCTCTCTTAGCCATCGAGCCCTTAGCGATTGAGGCCTGAGCTCTTAATCCCTCGAGTCTTTGGCATTTTAGCCTTAAGCCCTTAGTAGCCCTTGAGCCCCTAAAAGCCCTTGAGCCCGTAGTAAACCTTGTAGCCCTAAGTAGTCCTTGTAGCTCTTAGTAGCCCTGGAAACCATTTTGAAGCCCTTGAGTTTTAGTAGTCCTTGAGCCCCGAGAAGCCCTTGAGCCGTTAGAAGCCCTGGAACCCTTAGAAGCCTTTGAGCCTTTAGTAGTCCTGGAAGCCCTTGTAGCCCTTGATAGCCCTTGGTAGCCTTTAAAAACCCTAAATAATAATAACAAAAAACAATCCCTTAACATGTCTCTCAGAATACTATATAGTAATATTTGGCCTTAGTGACGTCAAAATTTCAATGGAATATGAAATCAGGTTGGAAGACTCTTTTGTGTGTGTGTGTGGGGAAGTCGCCAGGAAGGCTACAATCAAACATTCCCTGCGTTCTCCTCTCGCACCATTGCCACTCTCACACTCTTTCTCACTTTCCTCCCTTTTCTGCTTCTCCTGGTGGTTCAGTGCTGTATGTGTGTGTGTGTGTGTGTGTGTGTGTGTGAATGTTCGTAGTGTGAATGTTAGAATGTTAGGTCTATTATGGGAGTTTGGTGGTGGTGTTAGAATGTTTTTTAGGAAAAGGGTAACGTGTGTGTGTGTGTGTGTGTGTGTGTGTGTGTCAGGACTTGTCAAATACATGTGACAGAAACAAACCAGTCAGTCGTGCATATTGACGATAGGAAGTTATAGTTGGTGAAGTTGAGAGAGAGAGAGAGAGAGAGAGAGAGAGAGAGACATTCTACTACCTCACTACAGAAGGTTAGGTTAGGTTAGGTTATCAGAAGGAAAATATTACGAAAGTGTTGTGTAAATTATCTAACTAAATCACCATAGTTAATTGAATTTATATAATGAACTTTTCTCTATATAAATTAATTGTAATGTATATAAAAGTTACAGACATTATTTAGGTCATCCGTAAATAGTGAGAAAAGCAGGAAATGGTTTGTAAATTATATAGGTGATGTAAAAGACTTTAAAACTTACATAATATTAAAGTTTAGGAAGATATAAAGGAAAATTTATACCCAACTTGGATATTATTGTTCAGGTGATGGGAAAACAAAAGGGGAAAATCTGGTGTCAAGGTTTAGCGAGTTAGGAGGTGGAGTGGGACCATCACCCTCGAGTGTCAAGTTATGAGTGAGTTGGGTACAGTGGAGGGCGAGGCATTACAGGTGGTAATTAGTTGGAGTGCAATGAAGTTAATACAGGTAACTTGGGTTAGTGTGTGTGTGTGTGTGTGTGTGTGTGTGTGTGCCGTTGTCTCCCAAGTATTGATTATCTTTAACAATATACATGTGAATGGCTGCCGTGAATACCCAATACATCAATGAGTCATCAGGCGGCACTTACACACACACACACACAGACACACAGACACACACACACACACACACACACACCTCCCATCTCCATCAAAGGGTTAAATCATCGTACTCAAGGTGTTAAATCATCGTACTCAAGGTGTTAAATCATCGTACTCAAGGTGTTAAATCATCGTACTCAAGGTGTTAAATCATCGTACTCAAGGTGTTAATACCCACATAAACAAACAGCAACATACACTTCATAACGACACAAACAAACAAACACCCACATGTAAACACAATTGGTGATGTCATCTTGTCTGCCACAGTTTAGACATTTAGCATCACTTGTTTAAACTTCCCTTCCTCCTACCTGAACTACACCTGGCTGGCTACCTGGAGCTAATATAGTCACCATCCAAGTCACAGTAGCTCCGGTAATCCACTCTGTGACTTACCATACATAAACACCGTCTACCACCTGAGGCTCAGAAACCATCCCCGGACCCTGGAGGTGAGTGTCTTGTTAAGGCGTGTGTGGTATAGTCATTTAGGTGGCTACTGACCATGACTACCTGCGTGTGTACTTGATATATGCAGGTATATACAGTACAGTGTATACCTGAATGGATTATGTGTTGGGATATCGTATAGTCTACCAGTAGCAGTCACTTCCTCACCACCCTGGCTTCTTGACGTGTTATCTGGCCCGCGCTGTGTATGTATCCGGTGTTTGAGGGTTTTGTGTTTGTACTACTGAGTGGTCACCTCACCCTAAGTTTACTTTGTGTATATGGATTTGGATTATAATTATAATTTATATTGTGATAGGTAAAGCTTATCCCACGTGTTGATTATAGGATTAGAGGTTCTTGTCGTTTTGTCCCTGGTGTTATTACGCAGTTGTAGTTGATGTACGTTTATTTCCACCTTTCTGTGTATATAGCGTAGATATGTTTAATACTTAATATATTATAAGAGTTTATAGTGTATTATGAAAATTCCCGTTCTCCATTTATCTTCCCTTGTGTTGTGGAACATTATAATGACCCCTAGTCTATTATGTCTCTTAACAGTCCGTGTGATGCAAAACAATGGCTCTTAATCACGTACGACACTTATTAACCCTCGTCCGTTGTTGTCGGGAGAGGGGGGGGGGGATCATGAAGGTAGTCTGTGAGTTACCATTTCAATATTGACGAGTATCTATCTATCTATCAATCTGTGTCTATCAATCTATCTATCTGTGTCTATCAATCTATCTATCTGTGTTTATCTATCCGTTGAATTATGTCAAAATACATGAATAATAAGTCTTCAATAACAGTAAGATAAGGATAGAAATGTAAAGACTGTTTCTATCTGTGTGTTTACGAGTAAGTACAAACTATTGGCTAAGACAAACAGACAAACAGACAAACACTGGATATGGTAGAATGGGAGGAATTTGCGCATGACACCAACAGGTATTGTGTGGCGCTGTTGGCCTTCTGGCGTCCTTGAGGTGTCCTACATGGTTTCCTTGAGGTGTCCTACGTGTTGTGACGTGTCCTACATGGTGTCCTTGAGGTCTCCTACGTGTTGTGACGTGTCCTACATGGTGTCCTTGAGGTCTCCTACGTGTTGTGACGTGTCCTACATGGTGTCCTTGAGGTCTCCTACGTGTTGTGACGTGTCCTACATGGTGTCCTTGAGGTCTCCCCACGTGCTGCAGACGGGTCCCACATGGCAGGTCCTACAGGTCCCCACGTGTTGTGACGTGTCCCACATAGTCCTTGAGGTGTCCTTCTACGTGTTTGTCCACATGGTGTCCTTGAGGCCTCCCTACGTGATGTGACGTCCCACATGGTGTCCAGAGGTGTCCTACGATGTGATCTGCCCAAATGGGTGTCCTGAGGTGTCCTACGATGTGACTGCCCCATGGTGTCCTTGGAGGTGTCCCACGTGTATATGCGTTCTACATGGTGTCCTTGAGGTCCCTACGTGTTGTGACGTGTCCCACATGGTGTCCTTGAGGTCCCTACGTTGTGACGTCCCACATGGTGTCCTTGAGGTGTCCTACGTGATGACGTCCCTAAATGGTGTCCCTGAGGTGTCCTACGATGATCGCCCACATGGTGTCCTTGAGGTGTCCTACGTGATGTGACGTGTCCTACATGGTGTCCTTGAGGTCTCCTACGTGTTGTGACGTGTCCTACATGGTGTCCTTGAGGTCTCCTACGTGTTGTGACGTGTCCTACATGGTGTCCTTGAGGTCTCCTACATATGTTAAATTTTATTTTGATAATTTTAATCTGTGGTACGCTTGAGTACAGTGGTTTAATTATTCTCTTGAGTACAATCACTCAATCTCTCCTGTACGATGACTTATTCCTTGAGTAAGATGATATCGTACTCGTTGGGCTGAGTTATCGTACTCAGGGGGTTAAGTTATCGTACTCGAGGGCTTTCAGGTAACTAGATGGAAGAGGGTGGCCTGTGTGGTGGTGTCAAGATTGCTGAAACTGCCCACGCCCCCAATGCCCACGCCCCACAACCCATGCCCCACAGTCCACGCCCTCACAACCCACAGCCCACGCCCCCACATCCCACGCCCCCACAACCCACGCCCCCACAACCCACGCCCCCACAGCCCACGCCCTCACAACCCACAGCCCACGCCCCCACATCCCACGCCCCCACAACCCACGCCCCCATCACCAAAACAACCAAGAATTGCCCATTATTTTGATCACCCTGAACTGTGACGACCTATAAAGTATAATCCAGTGTACGGCCGTAACATACATCACGGCCAGCCCCCCTTCCTTCCCCGTGTTCTCCCCCCTCACCTCCCTCCCGTCTCTTCTCGCTCCCGGCCTCCCCCCCAGTGCCTCGGCCGTACCAGCATCCCTGTCCCTCGGCCGTACCATAAAGAAGAGTACGGACCGTTAAATAAAATAGCCCCTCCATTCCACCTGTTGCTGACCATCCTCGGCCCCACCGCCCCCGCACCCTTCCTCCAGTCAAGGTGTCTGTCTGTCTGTCACCTCTTGTAGCCATAGTGACACTGGCAGGCCCTCTCCCCGCCCCTCACCTGCACCCCCACCCCTCCCGCACTCCCCCACCCCCACACTCCCACGGTCCACAATGCCTACGGAACCCACCATCACTCTCAACACAAGTATCGATTTCCTCCTGTTAAATGTTTTGACATAATCCATTCTCTGACATTAGCTGTAGGGGGTGTGAGTGGAGGTCGCCTCGTCCTGGTCGACGCTGCCTCGCCCTCTTAATCGCCGCCTCGCTCGAGCAGTCGCCACCTCGCCCCGGTAGTCGCCACCCCGTTTTTTTAACACTTTATCAGGAAATTTATGTTGGTGGAGTAATTGGTCGTAGATTGTCAGTCGGGGCCCGGCGGGTGATGGTGCCTGGCGACTCGCACCCTCCACGGTAATGGCTCTTGTATTTATATTGAGAATAAATTCATTGGTACAGAGGGTGGGGGACACAGGATGAGGGATGTAGGGTGAGGCACACGGGGTGAGGGAGGGACACAGGTTGAGGGATTTTGGGTGAGGTACACGTGGTGAGGGACGCAAGGTGAGGTATATAGGGTGAAGCACATAGGGTGAGGGACACTACTCCAACAAAAGGTGTTTGTTTATATCACGTATGTAAATCATTGCTTATGTAACGACCCATTCACTGAGGACTGACCTAAACCCTGGGGCGTCTCTCTGGGTCTAGCGTAACGTAGAGGGGTCCCCCAGAGTAAGGGGTGGACCATAGAGAGACAGGGACCTCCTCCCAGGGTTAAGGAGGGCGGGCCTGGGGGAAGTCAGTCTTGTAATGGCGAAACATTTCAGGTTGATAGTAGTAAATCAGAGAAGGAACTCAGGCAATATAAACAAGACACAACTTCAGAGAAAACCTAACCTAACCTAGCCTCTTGAGGACGGTTTAACCCTTTAAAGAAAATGATTTAACCCTCCAGGACTCAACGAGCTAAAAGGTTTTACCCAATACGTTTACCACTGTATGTCTCCCACGCATCACCATTGTATTTGACATATAATTTACCTATGTATTTTTATTATACGCGTCAGATTTAATAGTCTTATTACATTGGAACCTTCAGAACCATAGTGTTTATGTTACTGTTACCAACTGTATGACTTTATAAATATTCTCTCTAGCTGGTAACAAAATAATAATAATAATAATAATAATATTTATCTTTTCAGTTCCTTCCGGGTTGATCGACAAAGAAGATCTGTGATTGGTTGACTTCTCCCACCGTTCACCGACCAATGGGAGGCCTCCGAGACTGGACATTTCTGCCCTTCCTCTTTGCTTTCTGTGAGTTCTCTTTATTGAGTTTTTTTTTAATTGAAATATAATAATATTTTGGAATTTATGGTTTATATATTTAATAAAACTGATGTCCTTTATTGTATTGGGTACGGTTTTATTATTCTTGTTAGCATTATACTTAAAGGGTTATATATATATATATATATATATATATATATATATATATATATATATATATATATATATATATATATATATATATATATATATATATATATATATATACACACTAGCGGAATCGCGCTCTTTCGCTAGGCCATGGTAGGACGCCAACCTCCGGGAGGCTCCACATTGTCTCACTGTAGTGCATTAGGGTAGACCACATTTTTGGTTTTGCCATTAGCAGCAAGAATGTACAGATTTTTGGCAGTTCCCACTCTGGAGCATCCAACCTAGAACTGTCCATGAGAGAAGCAAGGAAACACCAGGTTTAGGCCAACCATCTTTAGGGACTGTCCCTGGCTTTTGTAGATGGTCATGGCAAAGCTCACTTTAACCGGGAACTGAAGTCGCTTGAACTCAAATGGCAGGTCAGTGGTGATGAGAGGTATCCTTGGTATAAAAACGTCCTCTCCTTTAGCTTTTCCTGTCAGTATTGTAGCTTCCAGTACATGTGGCATCATGTTCTTCTTGTGAGCGACTCGTCTCTCATTTTGAGTATGATGTCTCGTTTCTCAAACTCTTAACCGACAATCAGGATGGCTACTTCATCAACTACAGGAGCATTGAATCTTCTTTCATGTTCTCCCTTAGGGGTCGTGTCTGCTTTGATCCTGACTTTGTACTCGTCAGAAGGCATGTCTTGGATAGATAGGGCAATGTCATGTCTGACACCTTGAATATTGCCACACCTGATAGTAGTCTGCTTTTCATGATCTCCCATGAAGTAGATTTGGAGGAACTTTGCCTGCTCATCTTCCAGTGGTAAGAGGGATCCTGCTTTGTGATAGACTTGACCCTGGACTTTGAATGTGGGCATGTATCCGTGCTCACGAACTACTCTGGTAGCTCCAAAGGATGTCATCTGGAAGCATGAATTGTACTTCCGTATATTTTCCAAGAAGTGTTTTGACTCTGGTGTTGTTCCCAGCATGAGAGTCTTCAATGGTTGTGGTGGTTTTTCCAAATTTGGCAGTGGTACTCTCCCATGAGAGCAGCACAGTCCAGCAGATTCTCCTTTGTACTTCTTTGCACTGTAGTGTTCACATTTATTATCCATGTTGCCAATGACAACAGAGGGATACTTTTCATACTCTATCTCATTGTCATAGTTAAATGCTGCTCTTGTCTATTAGCATTCAAACGAATTTCATGCACTTGATCATTTTCTAGAGAAGGCCTTTCTGCTGTTTGCTATCTGTCAGCATTAAGACGGGATTCCCTTTCCTGATCTGTTTCCTGTGACCGACTGTTCGCTGTTCGCTTTCTGTCAGCATTAAGACGAGATTCCCTTTCCTGATCTGTTTCCTGTGACCGACTGTCCTCTGTTCGCTTTCTGTTAGCATTAAGACGGTATTCCCTTTCCTGATCTGTTTCCTGTGACCGACTGTTCGCTGTTCACTCCGGGCGGCTCATCCGCTAGGCCACGGTAGGACGCCACCCTCCGGGAGGCTCCACATTGTCTCACTGTTCAGTCCCCAAAACGTCTTCTTCCATCAATAGTTCATTAACGGTGTATGTAAGTTCCACCATGTTTTCCACTACAACGGCACAGCAAAGTATATTTTTTTAGCATTAAACTGTTATTATTTTATTGTCTAATCATCACTACATATAACATCATCCATCATCACTACATATAACATCATCCATCATCACTACATATAACACCATCCATCATCACTACATATAACACCATCCATCATCACTACATATAACATTATCCATCATCACTACATATAACACCATCCATCATCATCACTACATATAACACCATCCATCATCACTACATATAACATCATCCATCATCACTACATATAACACCATCCATCATCACTACATATAACACCATCCATCATCACTACATATAACACCATCCATCATCACTACATATAACACCATCCATCATCATCACTACATATAAAACCATCCATCATCATCACTACATATAACACCATCCATCATCATCACTACATATAAAACCATCCATCATCATCACTACATATAACACCATCCATCATCATCACTACATATAAAACCATCCATCATCATCACTACATATAACACCATCCATCATCACTACAGATCGGTAAAGTAGTTTCCGAGATTCTCGTGCGGACAGACATGTACACAAACACACAAACAAACACACACACAGACATACTTCTTTGTTATATATATCATACTCAAGGGGTTAAGACATAGTTTAGAGGTCATTAAACTATGATTCTCAAGGGGCTTAGACATCATATTCAAGGAGGGGGGAGTAATTTAGACATCATACTCACAGATCTAATTCATTATACTCTGTTGGCTTTGAACTAACCTCCGGGGCGTGGAGGGTTAGGTGAAGGGGTAGAGAGGAGGGGAAAAGGTAGGGACGGAGAGGTACTATGGGTAGGGAAGGAGGGGAGGGGAGGGGTTAAGTTAATGGCGTTGTTTTTCGTCGTCATAAAAGCCAACATTATCACTGTAGCACTTACCTCTCGACGCCATTACCAACGTGAGGGATTACGTGCCACTACATTACCATTAATCTTTATGGTAATTCGATTTTAATTCTCTCAATGTTGTTTTTTCTCTCGTCATGTTAAGCCTTTTTTAAGTTTTGTGGGCGTTCGTAGAGCCGGAAAATTACTGTCGGATCTAATTGATGTATTCGGAAGCTAATCTCTTATATCCTGGCTCCAGTCTGTGTTATAAGCTCTAATCTGTGGTTTTAATGTGGTTTTATGCCCTAATCTGTGTTTCCATGCTCTAATCTGTGGTTTTAAGCTCTAATTTGTGGTTTTATGCTCTAATCTGTGTTTACAAGCTTTAATCTGTGGTTTTAAGCTCTAATATGTGTTTTCAAGCTCTAATCTGTGGTTTTAAGCTCTAATATGTGTTTCCAAGCTCTAATCTGTGGTTTTAAGCTCTAATCTGTGGTTTTATGCTCAAATCTGTGTTTCCAAGCTCTAATCTGTGGTTTTAAGCTCTAATATGTGTTTTCAAGCTCTAATCTGTGTTTCCAAGCTCCAATCAGTGGTTTTATGCCCTAATCTGTGTTTCCAAGCTCTAATCTGTGGTTTTAAGCTCTAACATGTGTTTCCAAGCTCTAATCTGTGGTTTTATGCCCTAATATGTGTTTCCAAGCTCTAATCTGTGGTTTTAAGCTCTAACATGTGTTTCCAAGCTCTAATCTGTGTTTCCAAGCTCCAATCAGTGGTTTTATGCCCTAATCTGTGTTTCCAAGCTCTAATCTGTGGTTTTAAGCTCTAACATGTGTTTCCAAGCTCCAATCAGTGGTTTTATGCCCTAATCTGTGTTTCCAAGCTCTAATCTGTGGTTTTATGCCCTAATCTGTGTTTCCAAGCTCTAATCTGTGTTTCCAAGCTCTAATCTGTTTTTCCAAGCCCTAATCTGTGTTTCATGTTGCTTATTTTCTTTACCTTGTGGGGAAAGAATATTAATTAGCCTCCGTCTCTCACCTGTGTTCAGAGTTAAGTTATATAATTTCACCTCAAAGAACAGTGACAAAATTTAAAACACTAAACGATAAATAGTGAAAAAAGAAAGACGATTATTCTCTCCATTTCTTCCTTCTTCTCCTTTTATCTTATTTTCCTTCTGTGTTCCTTCTTTCATTATATAATTCTCGTTAGTTTATAGTTTTTATATATTTTTAGTATATTTTCGCTTTTCCCTATTTGCACAAAGTAGTTCCAAGAATATATATCGCTGCCACAACACTGAAATTAGCCAGCCTAGCAAGAGGTAAATAGTAAACACGGGTTACATAATATTTTTTTTTTGCACGGCAACACGTGCGGAAAATTGTGTACAGTAGTTTTTGTAGGAGTTAATTATGAATATTTGTAAAGATCTAAAGAGTCCCATGAATTTAACCTTGACTTAGGGAGGTCTTAAACTCGTATTGCGTATCAGTACCGATTTCTTTTTAGTCTAGAGAGGAGTGAGTCACGTATCCCATAACAGAAATTTTTTACGTGTCCAAACAGAGTATTTTTACGTGTCCAAACAGAGTATTTTTTGTGTGTGGGGGGAGGGGGGAGTCAATGTGATGCAAGACGGGGTAGACGATCACACACACACACACACAGATTGTCTATCATCGTAATCTTATAACCTTCACTAATCCCTTGATAACCCCTCTCTCCCTGTCTCTATTCCCTCCCTTTGATATTCCTCCTCTACATGCCCCGTCTGCATCTCCCTTCCACATATATCCCCCCCCCCTCTCCAGTAAGGGTAGGGGAAGACAAGATCATACCACAGGAGAGAGAGAGAGAGAGAGAGAGAGAGAGAGAGGGGTGTAACTAAGGTGTAATATCCCACAACAAAAAACCCTCAACTTTTCTTGCCCAACTTGGGATTTAGGAAGGTTGTTGCCGAGTTTAGAATATGTAAAGTAGTGGTGGTGGTAGAAGAGAATAGTACTGGTGCTGGTGGGGGAGGGATGGTTGAAGATAGTGGTAGTGGTCGAGTTGGTGGTGATGGAGGATGGTAGTGGAACAGTTAGTGGTATGGACGGCGGTGGAACTGGACCCCCAAAAAAAAATAGCTCCACCTCAAGTTCCACCTTCCGTCATTATAATTCGGGTCTGTAATAACTCTCCTTCTACCTAAACTCACTCAAGCGAATTAAACTGTTCAGATATAAATTACCATGAGACGCACTTCACCAAGTTTTCCTTCTTAGGATTTAGCGAATGTGAATTGAACCGCGATTTCATATAATGGATTTTTGCATGATAAGATTTTGCTTGCTTGCTCCTGCCTCAGTATGTATGTCTCCCCCTGCCTTTGTTATTCCTCCTCTACAT